AGCAGCTGAGGCCGAGCCAAGCTGGCTGGGAAAAGAGAGGAGAGACTGTGCAAGGAAAGAGAGAAAGGTTTTGTGGAACCATGTCATAACCTATCCAGGGGTGTCATGACAAAGAAAGTGGAAGCAAAAGGGATCAATTGCCTCTCCAAAACAAGAATTCTGTCCATTTTGAACTTACTTAGGTGATCCCTCGTTGTCCGAGTAGGATTGTCTTCCAAGATTGGGGTGCTGGTGGTGACTGTGGAGCCCTATTCTTGATCTGCATCTTCTCCCACAGTGAGGGCATTGGTTTCCAGGTGGAAGGCGATCCCAGTTGAGGTTGGCTTGGCGCGCCTTCCTCTTGGTACGTTTCTCTCTCTCACCCCCCATTCACGCCTCTTCAAATTCTGCAGCACTGCTGGTCACAGCTGACCTCCAGCTGGAGCACTCAAGGGCCAGGACTTCCCAGTTCTCCTTATCTATGCCATCGTTTTTAAGGTTGTCTTTGAGCCCATCTTTAAATCTCTTTTCCTGCCCACCAACATTCCGTTTTCCGTTCTTGAGTTCGGAATAGAGCAACTACTTTGGGAGATGGTGGTCGGGCATCCGGACAACATGGCCGGTCCAGCGGAGGACCATCACTTCAATGCTGATGGTCTTTGCTTCTTTCAGCATGCTGACATTTGTCCACTTGTCTTCCCAAGAGATTTGTAAGATTTTCTGGAGGCAACACTGATGGAATCATTCCAGGAGTTGTGTGTGACATCTGTAGACAGTCCACATCTCACAGGCATATAGCAGGGTTGGGAGGATAATCGCTTAATAAACAAGCACCTTGGTCTCCCTATGGATGTCCTGGTCCTCAAACACTCTCTGCATCATTCAGAAAAATGTTGCACTTGCAGAGCTCAGGCGGTGTTGAATTTCAGTGTCAATGTTGACTTTTGTGGAGAGATGGCTGCCAAGGGAGCAGAAATGGTCAACATTTTCTAACGGTACACCATTAAGCTGTATTTCTGGCATTGTAAAGGGATTGCCTGGTGATTACTGGAAGAGCACTTTGGTTTTCTTGATGTTCAAACAGACCGAGCTTCTCATATGCTTCTGCACAGGTGTTTAGAGTGGCTTGTTGGTCTTCTTCTGAATGTGCACAGATGATGATGTCATCAGCATACTGGAGTTCTATAACAGATGTTGTTATAACCTTGGTTTTGGCTTTCAGTCTGCAGAGGTTAAATAGCTTGCCATCTGTACGATAGATGATTTCCACTCCGGTGGGTAGCTTCCCGTCAACAAGATGAAGTATCATAGCGATTAAGATGAAAAATAAGGTTGGGGCAATAACACATCCTTGTTTGACACCTGATTCCACCTTAAATGGGTCACTTTGGGAGCCATTGCTGTCCAGGACCATTGCCATCATGTCATCATGGAGGAGCCACAGGATGTTCACAAATTTGTCAGAGCACCAGATTTTTTGGAGGATGGTCCAGAGAGCATTTTGAACACCGCCGCCTGGTGAAGGTGGCAATGGATCTTTGAAAGCTTGAGTTTGCCTTCTCCAAAATGCTTGGGACTGGCATTGTTTTGGATTTCAGCTTTTGTTTTCATTCAGGTTTGGAATGCTTGTGTTTGCACATACGCAGATATGAGAAATGCTTGGCAAGAAGGCCCAAATCTGTTGTCATTGCCTTCATTCTGCTTCTGACTCATGATGACCCTGTGATGAACTGATCACACGGTTTCCTAGGCAGAGGGAATTTGGCTCCAGCTCCCTCTGAGGCTGAGAGAGTGTGACTCACCCAAAGTCTCCCAGTGGGCTTCTATGACTGAGCAGGGATTCAAATCCTGGTTTCCAGCGCACTATGCTCCGTACATCACAAGAAATGGAGGAAGGGAGCCCAATGTTTTGCACACCGCAGCATGTAAGCAACATGCTGTGAAGCTGTGCTGTTCGAGGCAAGCTTTGTGCCATTTGGAGCCGGTCTATTTTGGGCTGTTGTCAGGGACAGGAGGGGAGTGCTGCTTTCCCTCCTACATTCGCACGCTGAGTGCTGCTATTTTGGAGCCGCTGGCACAGCGGTCCCTCTCCCCTTCCTCTTCTCTTCCTCCTCCTCACTTTCTGGGATGCCAGCAATGAGGACAAAATGTAGAACCCAGCTCCAGGTTTAACCCCCTGAGCCCCGAATATAGATCAGCATCAAAGGAGCAAAGCAGCACCATTGCTGTTGTGTGCCAACAAGATATTTCTGACCTATGGTGATCCTAGATAAAGATAGAATTTCCTCTGATATTAAGTGTAGTTGTGTCCAACTCAGGGGGTTGGTGCTCATCTCCATTTCTAAGCCGAAGAGCCAGCGTTGTCCATAGACACCTCCAAAGTCATGTGGCCGGCATGACTGCATGGAGTGTCGTTACTTTCCCACAGAAGTGCTACCTATTGATCTACTCACATTTGCATGTTTTCGAACTGCTAGGTTGACAAAAGCTGGGGCTAACAGTGGGAGCTCACCCCACTCCAGGGATTCAAATCGCCAACTTTTGGTCAGCAAGTTCAGCAGCTCAGCAGTTTAACCCAGGGAGCCAATTGACGAAGCAACTGAAAGGTCTTTGTGGTGTGATTGAGGCTGAGAGAGTGGTACTCATCCAAGGTCACCCAATGGGTCTCCATTCCAAGCAGCATTCGAACCCTGGTTTCCAAAGTCATTGTCCGGTGTTCAAACCACTAAATCCAATGGCTGTCAAATAATAACGATGCCCTGATTCATTCAAGGAGATCGTGCAAAAGAAAGCACACTTGACAGTATACTTCTACTCAAATTGGGTGCATCCACACTGTAGAATGACTGCAGTTTGACACCATTTCAACTGCCATGACTCAGGTCTATGGAATCATAGGGTTTCTAGTTTGGCAAGGCACCAAAGAAGGCTACAGACCTTATAAAACTACTACTTCAAGGAGACTGAGCAAGGCCAAACCGACCTCTGTTCCAGTGCTGGCGGCCAAGCTGGATGCGCTCCGAACATTCGCGGCCAGAGTCCGCTTGCCAGGTCCAATAAACAGCCAAGGTGTTGCCGGTGCCCCAAACGTGCCAACTTTGGCATGGCACATGTAACGGAAACGGGACTTTACCCTCCTCTGAGCACACTACGAATTGATGCAAACACCTGGCAACTCCCTTGCGCTGCATGTTCTTCCTCGGCCTTTGGCCGGGCGCCCGAAGCCTTGTCTCGGGTTCATTCTTAATTATTTGTTTCTTTAAGCTATTTTGGCAAAGCAGGCCCTTGTTTGCCCTTGAAAACGGTGTCTGCATAAAAATAAACCCAAAGCAAGGAGAGGGGAGAAAAAGAACATGGACACAGAGTGCGAAAATAGTTAGAAAAAAGCATGGCGTTGGAACAGCATGGCTCGGGTGCTATTAAATACCTGGTAAGAAAGAACATTTCAGAAAATCCATTGCCTGAATGCTTTTTAGAATAAATCCACACCATACAATTAAAGCAGTTTGATACCATGTTGCTTATGGTGTTTTTTGTGCATGCAACAAAGCTGGTGCGCATGGAGCCAACAGAAAGCAAAGGCATCACTCCCACAGATACACCTGGGAACAAAGAACTTCAGATTTTGGAATCCTGCATAAGGAACCTGCGTTTATTTGCTTCGGTGAAGCAATGCGGAAAAGAATACAGACTAATACATATGCCAGTCATGTCTCCGGAATCGTGTTTGTGTTTTTGTTTAGATGATCCCTTGTAACCAGAGGATGATGGTACTCCAAGTGTAGTGTCTTGGTGGTGGGTCCGTAGGTGGCTGTGGAGCCCTATTCTTGATCCGTATCTTCTCCTGCAGTGAGACATTGCTTTCCAGGTGGAAGGCGGTCCTCATCAGGGTTGGCTTGACATGCCTTCCTCTTGGCATGTTTCTCCCTTTCACCCTCCATTCGTACCTCTTTGAATTCTGCAGCACTGCTGGTCACAGCTGACCTCCAGTTAGAGCGCTCAAGGGCCAGGGCTTCCCAGTTCTCAGTGTCTATGCCACAGTTTTTGAGGTTGCCTTTAAGCCCATCTTTAAATCCCTTTTCCTGTCCAGCAACAATTACGTTTCCTGTTCTTTTTTTTAAAAAAAAATCATCTTTATTGAGTATTTCCGTGCAAGGTAAAATCCGAAGAAGGATATGCCAAACACAAAATGAAATAAATTAGAGAGAGAGAAAGCAAAATAAGAAAGGGAAAAGAGAAGGGGGGGGGGGCAAGAAAAAAAATAAAATAAAAAAAACCAACACAACAAAAGAAAACATTTAAAAAATCATAATTGTTTTCTCAAGTTGTGACTTCCGAGCATCTTCTTTGAGATTTTTGCCTTTTTCCTCCTTTGCTTCTTCTTATTTACTTCTCCCTTTCTTCTTGATTTGACTCAGGTGTAAATTTTAGGTTTTTCAGATCATTATCCTTCTATTATCTTGTTTTAAATATCCCGTTACTAGGCTCCAGTCAGTTTCTTTCATTGGGTTTCCCTTGCTTTTGGGGATAAGGTATGTCAGCCTGTCCATATTTCTTATTTCTAGTATTTTTACTATCCACATTTCCTGTTCTTGAGTTGGGAGTAGAGTAGCTGCTTTGGGAGACGGTGATCGGGCATTCGGACAACGTCTCCTTCAGTCCAGTGGAGTTGATGGTGGAGGAGCATCACTTCAATGCTGGTGGTCTTTGCTTCTTCTTCCAGTACGCTGACATTTGTCCGCCTGTCTTCCCAAGAGATTTGCAGGATTTTTCGGTGGCAACGCTGATAGAATCATGCCAGGAGTTGCATGTGATGTCTGTGACGGAATCAGCCACCTTGTATTAATAATGTATCAAAGTTTAAGGCTTATAATAAAGATCTGGGAGGCTCACATATACAAATGTGGTATAGAAGCAGTTGCCATTTCTCCCTACATTTTGCCTTTGGATTGTGTTTCCTGGTACCATTGGTCTCTCTGAAATGGTTGCATTCTCACACACTTCTTTTTCTTTCTCCGCAGAGCTCCAAAACGGTGCAGGGTTTGACCGGCCTCCGCAACCTCGGCAACACTGTAAGTCCACCCCTTTACTCTCCTTTGGACATCTTTCCTCTCCATGCTTGCACATTGATTGATTCAACCATCTGTCCTGATGCTTAGGAGAAACATGGGAGTTGTGGCTTAGATGGAAGGAATGGATAGGATCTTGGCTGTTGGATGTTTCTCAGAAGCACTTCTGGCGATAGCTCACAGACTCAAACATTAAAGCAGTATAAAATAATATGGGTGCATCTTTTTTTTTCCTTGGAGAGGTAAAGGTCCCACAAAGTCCTTATCCCAATCTGCAAGATATTTTTGCTTCTTTGCTCTCTACTGTGGAAATTGTTCCCATTTCACGGATGAGAAGACTGAGGCCAAAAGAAAAAAAGCTCTGCTGGGCCCATTTAGTATGAAGATGACAGAGAATAGAAGCACACTGAGGATTCCCCTCATCATAATCCAGACCAGGCATGGGCCAACTTCAGCCCTATAGGTATTTTGGACTTCCACAATTCCTGATAGGCTACCGGCTGTTAGGAATTGTGGGAGTTGAAGTCCAAAATACCTGGATGGCTGAAGTTTGGCCATGCCTGATCCAGACTCTTAAACCACAACACTGAATAAAAGCTCTCTTCTCACTAATCTATATAAATAAAAATGTAATGTTCGTATGTGGGATTAACATAACTCAAAAACCACAGGATGAATTGGCACCAAATTTGGACACAAGACACCAATCAGGCCAACAAGTGACCATCGCTCATAAAAACATGGAAAAACACAGTGGAAGGGACTTAAAAAGGCAAAAAAACAAAATTACATTACAACATATGTGCAAAACCACATATACACATATTCACAAATATATACACACACATATACAAATATACACAGACTGGGCCACAATAACACATGGCAGGGGACAGCTGGTATAATATATGTTTGTTATATAGATACAGCTGTAGGAATTTCAAGCCTCTCCCACCAGTTTTCTCCTCTCAAATTGTGGTGTATTGGGGTCTTTGAGATTTAGGGCAATGGAGAGTTGACCCACCAATGTTCAGATCTTTCCCCATCTACGTCATCTGCACTGGGTTTCTAAGCCATGCCAAGCAGATTCATATTATTTACCATTCGTATTATTGCAAAAGGTTCCTGTGAGCCCTTGAGGTGTGCTTTTAGGCACGTACCGGAAGTTTCCACATGATTTTCCTCAGCTCTTTGCAACTGGGTTCCTCTTTTTGGATGACACTGCTGGGAAACCCCTTGTTTACCTGCATTTTTAAAATTTCCATAGAAAGAAGAAGCTCTGACGATAGTTGCGCAAATGTCTCCGGAAACTGCCTGGCATTGGCCTTCCAAAGTGAAAGCACTGCCCTTTTCGATAAGGATGCACCTACACTGTACAATGAGTGTTGTTTGGCACCACTTGAACTGTTGTGGCTCAATGCTATGGAATCCTGGGAGCTGTAATTTTACAAGGTCTTTTACCTTCCCTGCTCAAGAGTGTGTGTGCCTCACCAAACTACAACTCCCAGGATTCCAGTAGTAGTCAAGGTGATGCAAACTGTGTTGATTCTAAAATGTACAGAGGATTTATTTGCATTTATGAACTAGATTTGGCCCCTTATCACATCGATACTCACCTCGTTGTTGCTACCTGCCTTCAAGTCAATTCCAACATTATGGAGACCTTAATGTGAAATTATCACAAAGTTTTCCTGGCAGAATTGATTCAGAAGAATGTGCCATTGCTGTCCCTTGAGGCTGAGAGAGAGTGTCTTTCTCAAGGCCATCCAGTGGGTTTCAAGGTCATTCCGCAAATTCAAACCCAGGTCTCCGAAGTCGTAGGCCAACATTCAAACCACTACATTATGCTGATTCTTGAAGGCAGATACACGTCAACATTGGTGCCAAAAGGCCGTTGCTTTACCTTTCTTTCTTGTCTCCCAACCCACAGTGTTTCATGAACTCCATCCTGCAGTGTCTGAGCAACACCAAAGAGCTTCGGGATTACTGTCTGCAGAACCAGTATGTCCGCGACCTCAACAACAACAGCCGGATGCAAATGAACCTCATGGCAGGTAAGCGGTTGTGCAAATTCAAAAACAGACACACACCCCTTCCAAATCCCTCCAGAATTCAATGCTGGCCATGTAAATATTGTGCCAATTTTGGTACACATCCTTTGTGGGCTGGGTTCAGAGTGCTCTTTGATTGTAGGTGAACTATAAATCCTAGCAACAACAACTCCCAAATGTCAAAGTCTATTTTCACCCAAACTCCACCAGTGTTCATATTTGGGCATATTGAGTATTCGTGCCAAGTTTGGTCCAGATCCATCATTGTTTGAGTCCACAATGCTCTCTGGATGTAGGTGAACTACAACTCCAAAATTCAAGATCATTGCCCACCAAATCCTTTCAGTATTTTCTGTTGGTTATGGGAGTTCAGTGTCCCAAGTTTGGTTCAATTCCATTGTTGGTGGGTTTCACAATGTTTTGATTGTGGGTGAACTATAAACCCAGCAACTGTAACTCCCAAATGTCAAGGTCTATTTTCCACAAACCCCACCAGTGTTCACATTTGGGCATATTGAGTATTCATGAAGTTTGGTCTAGATCCGTCATTATTTGAGTCTGGATGTAGTTGAACTACAACTCCAGAACTCAAGGTCAATGCCCACCAGACTCTTTCAGTATTTTCTGTTAGTCATAGGAGTTCTGTGTGCCAAGTTTGGATCAATTCCATCATTGGTGGAGTTCAGAATGCTCTTTGATTGTAGGTTAACTATAAATCCCAGCAATACAACTCCCAAATTATAAAATAATTCCTCTCCAATCCCAACAGTATTCAAATTTGGGTGTGTCGAGTATTTATGTCAAGTTTGGTCCAGTGAATAAAAATCCTGCATATCAGATATTGACATTACGATTCATAACAGTAGCAAAATTACAGTTACGAAGTAGCAACGAAAATACTGTTATGGTTGGGCATCACCACAACATAAGAAACTGTATTAAGGGGTTGCAACATTAGGAAGGCTGAGAACCATTGGTGTAGAGGCAAAAGCAAACTGCTCCAGCCTCTTCTAACTTGTATGTCCTTCCTCGTTCATAACTTGTGCCATCATGATTACATTTAGCCACATATATGTATGCAATGAGGGAGGAAGGCATGACCTTGATTCATTTCTTCTGTCATGGTTGCCAAATGTATTCTGTGCCAGGCCCTCCTTGCCTTGCAAAACTAACCTCTTGGGCTTCTCTCTCTTCCTTTGACCTGCTTTTCCCACCCAGAGTTTGCCAAGCTCATCCAAGCCTTGTGGACGTCGTCTCCCAACGAATCTGTGAGTCCTTCCGAATTCAAGACGCAGATTCAAAGATATGCGCCCCGCTTTGTGGGTTACAAGTAAGAGAGGCTCTTGATTCCTCTTTTTTTCTCTTTTCCTTTGATCTCAATAAATTAATTTCCCTGGAAATCATTGTTTACATGTGAGCCAGGGCAGTGTGATGGTTTGAGCATTGGATGGTTAGGGGGTGCTTCACGAATGAGGAGAGGTAGCTGTATATTATAGTTAGCTATTCATATTAAACTTTCAGCTTGAGATGAGCTTTGACTTTAAGCCATTCGTCTTCCAAAACAAACATCTCAGGAAAATTCATGCTTTTGCACTCCAGCTCCCAGAATCCCCCAGCCATAACAACAACAACAACAACAACAACAACAACAACAACAACAACAATAAGGATTTAAAGATTGAACTGCAAGGACTCTGGCACAAGCCAATCAAGGTGGTCCCAGTGGTGATTTGCACACTGGGTGCAGTGCCTACAGACCTTGGCCTGCATTTAAAAACAACCGGCGCTGTCAAAATTACCATCTGCCAGCTGCAAAAGGCCACCCTACTCTGATCTGCACACATAATTCGCCGATACATGACACAATCCTAGACACTTGGGAAGTGTCGGATGTGTGATCCTATACAAAAGCCAGCATAATGATTTTGTTTGTTGTGTACTAATCTTGTTTGTATGAAATAATAATAACAACAGCATCAGCAACAAAACTTTATTTGTATTCCCGAGGGGATTCAGAGCGATTCCAGCATAAATACAGACTTAGGCAAACATTCAATGTCTTTGAAACACACAATGAAACACAAATACACAGACAAAGGCAAAGGCTTCCCCTTTTAATACCAGCTCTGTGGGAGGTGCTCATCTCCATTTCCAAGCCAAGGAGCCTGCGTTGTCTGTAGATACCTCCTGGTCATTACTTTGTGGGGTGCCCTTTTACCTTCCCGCTGAAGCGGTACCTATTTATCAACTCAAATTTGCATGTTTTCAAATTGCTAGGTAGGCAGGAGCTGCGGCTGAGAGTGGGAGCTCACCCCATCTCACAGATTCAAACTACTAACCCTCAGGTTAGCAAGCTCAGCAGCTCAACAGTTTGACCTGTTGTACCACCACAGCCCCATGGTCCTGTTTACCTGGAAGGATTCTGGGAGTTGTTTACCTGGAAGGTTTCTGGGAGTTGTTTACCTGGAAGGATTCTGGGAGTTGTTTACTTGGAAGGATTCTGGGAGTTGTTTACCTGGAAGGATTCTGGGAGTTGTTTACTTGGAAGGATTCTGGGAGTTGTTTACCTGGAAGGATTCTGGAAGGATTCTGGGAGTTGTGGTTTGACATGTAACACTTCCCAGGATCTGCTCAGAATCTGAAAAGGAGCATAATAATGGAATCTGGAGAGGAATGTTATTATTATTATTATTATTATTATTATTATTATTATTATTATTATCGTTATTGTCCTACTTTATCTCCCTCAAAAGAAAACCAAAGTATAAGGCTTCCCTAAAGCCTCCCAGCCTTCCCAAAAATGAAGTTACCCATAGAGTCATGTTGAAGGATTAAGGATCCAGCTACACTGCCATATAAAATCCAGATTATCTGGAACTGGATTATATGAGTCTACACCAGGCATGGGCAAACTTGGGCCTCCGGGTGTTTTGGACTTCAACTAGCAGAAAAGGAAGGGGCCTGAGGCTGTAAGGAATTGTGGGAGTTGAAGTCCAAAACACCTGGAGGGCCCAAGTTTGCCCATGCCTCGTCTACACTGCCGCATAATCCAGTCCAAAGCAAACAATCTGGATTTTATATAGCAGCGTAGATGCTTCGAACCCAACACTCCATTGAGGTTCAAACCCAACATTCATTTGATCTCACCTGTCTCTCGGTTGATTGACACCTGACTCTTCCCTCCTCTTTGCAGCCAGCAAGATGCCCAGGAATTCCTGCGTTTCCTTCTAGATGGGCTCCACAGTGAGGTGAACCGCATCTTGGTGCGCCCCAAAGGTGGTGGCAGTGACAGCCTGGACCATCTCCCGTAAGTCCCAAAGCTATAGGAAAAAGTCAAGGGATGGGAAAACGAGGGAAACTGTGATATTTTCGGGGTGTATGGCTTTGAAGCTAATGTGAATGAGCTTGAAGAGTATCTAGAAGCTGCAAATTGCAAACAATCAAGTGCCAGTTGTTGTGGTTGTTCATTTGTTCAGTCGTCTCCGACTCTTCGTGACCTCATGGACCAGCCCAAGCCAGAGCTCCCTGTCGGCCGTCACCACCCCCAGCTCCTTCAAGGTCAATCCAGTCAGTTCAAGGATGCCATCTATCCATCTTGCTCTTGGTCGGCGCCTCTTCCCTTTTCCTTCCACTTTCCCCGGCAAGTGCCAGTTAATACATCCCAAACAGAGGATGCCTCCAGGCAACAAAGCCCAGGCTACCTCTATGCTGATACCCTCACCAGTTGACTTTCTCCCACCTTGGACATCTCACATATAGATATACACTCCACTTGCTTCACTGCTGACAGAACCTCTGAAGATGCCATTAACCCAAGATGCAGAGGAAACATCAGGAGAGAATGCTACTAGAACATGGCCATACAGCCCGAAAAACTCACAACAACCCAGTGGTTCATGAAAGCCTTTAATAACACAAAAGGAGGGAAAGCCATACATAATTAGGATGTATAGACTCATGAAAATATGAAACATAGGATCCATAAAGAGATCCAAACTATCATCCAAATCATAAAGATGTGGAATAACAACACTGAAGGTCGGACCGAACACATCTCCAAAAGCATCTCCAAAATGAAAAGGGGCTAATGATGATTACTCCTTGGTTCTGGTCCATCAACCAATTACAAATCCCAGAAAAGATTTCCCACTAAGTTGCATGGCCAAATAGGTGCTCGAAGTTCCCCTTTCCAGTCCAATGTTTCAATATCCATCAGTCACAAAGACTTCTAACCATGTCCGCTGAAGAATTGCCATCTTTTGACCTTCTCGCCTTCTTGCCTCTTGCAGTGATGAAGAAAAGGGAAGGCAGATGTGGATGAGATACCTGGCAAGAGAAGACAGCCGAATTGGAGGTAAGTGCTTGCCATGTTTAGAGTATAGCCACTAAGACCCAAAAAGTTCTCCCCAGGTCTTGATGCCAAACTTCCAAACTTGGATAGGGTACGGTTGGGTTTTATTGCAACTCCGAAAAACCTTAGGCTTCATCTAGACTGCCATATAATCCAGGTTATCAAAGCAGAAAATACACATTATTTGCTTTGAATGGTATTAAATGAGTCTAGACTGCCATATAATCCCGTTCAAAGCAATTAATCTGGATTTTATATGGCAGTGTAGAAAGGGCCTTAGTCAGCATGGACATGGAGTTTTCAAGGGCTGCGGGTGGTGCAGCGGGTTAAACCATTGAGCTGCTGAACTTGCTGACATGAAGGTTGGCAGTTCGTATCTGCAGGATGGGGTGAGCTCCTGCTGTTAGCACCAGCTCCTGCCAACCTAGCAGTTTGCAAACATGCAAATGTGAGTAGATCAATCAGATTAAATCATTGAGCCACTGAACTTGCTGACCTGAAGGTTGGCAGTTCGTATCTACAGGACGGGGTGAGCTCCAGCTCCTGCCAACCTAGCAGTTTGCAAGCATGCAAATATGAGTAGATCAATCAGGTTAAACCATTGAGCCACTGAACTTGCTTACCTGAAAGTTGGCAGTTCGTATCTGTGGGACGGGGTGAACTCCTGCTGTTAGCACCAGCTCCTGCCAACTTAGCAGTTCAAAAACATGCAAAAGGGAGTAGATCAATCAGGTTAAACAATTGAGCCACTGAACTTACTGACCTAAAAGTTGGCAGTTCATATCTGCAGGACAGAGTGAGCTCCTGCTGTTATCCCCAGCTCCTGCAAACCTAGCAGTTTGCAAACATGCAAAGGTGAGTAGATCAATAAGTAACACCTCAGTGGGTAGGCAAAGGGTGGATCACACATCGGATACTTCCCAAGTGTCTCAGACTGTGTGATGTATCGGCGAATAATGCGTGCAGATCCCAGTAAGGTGGCCCTCTGCAACTTGCAGATGGTAATTTTGTCAGTGCCAATTGTGTTTAAGTGCAGGCCAAGGTCTTTAGGCACTGCACCCAGTGTGCCGATCACCACTGGGACCACCTTGACTGGCTTGTGCTAGAGTCTTTGCGGTTCGATCTTTAAATCCTCATATCATGTTATTACTATTATTATTATTATTATTATTATTATTATTATTATTGATGGGCTTCAAAATAAGTAACTTTCCAAAATAAGTAACTTTCTCAAGCTTTTCATAAGTTCAGTAGAAACTGCTGTTTTCCATGTCAGTATGGGGTTTCGTCCAAATTTTAATGGAGGCATCTGAGAAACTAAACCTTTTTGGGAGATACCCCCAAAGACATGTCAGCCAGCAGAAAAGAAAAGGACAAATGACCCCAGGATTCAATATAGATGAAATCAATTATCTCACTCAATAGTTTCAGTACAGAGCCTGGCCAATGTGTCCACCATGCGGATCAAATATCAGTTGACCGACTGACATTTTACCCAGTATTGTCGAAGATTCCCCGAAGCCACAAGTTCGAGGAGTGACCCTTGGCCATCTCGAAAAACCACCTTGAGAGGCATTCTTGGACGAGGACATGGAGCCACTTGGCTCTCCTTGCGTTTCACTTCCTTTTGAAAAGTTGTGCAATGTTCCAGCTGACTCTCATGTGCCAAAGAGAACTTTTCAGCCAAGCATAAAAATTGTTCTTGAAACCCTGAACTGATGTTAAAAATTAACTGGCTAATTGGGTGAACATGATGATCATACTTTTTATAAAAGCCTTTGAATAAACGTAGTCCATTCAGAATGTTTCATCCATACTTGACCATTCAGATCCCCAGCCGTACTTTGTCAGTTCCTTATGGAACTGGAAAGAAGCCCTGGATGTTGGTTTTTCTTTTTGCAGCTAAGGCTCAAACTAGATGCAATATTCAATTACATCATAGCAATTCGCATGTTTAGTTTTTAAATCTTAATTAGAAACCACAAGGAGACTTGACCATGATCAATACAGCCTGAGTAACTCTTACAGTAGAGCAGTGTTTGTCAATCTTGGGATCTGGATCAGAGGGGTCTCCAAAGACTATCAGAAAACACAGTATTTTCTGTTTATCATGGGGGTTCTGTGTGGGAAGTTTGGCCCAATTTTATCATTGGTGGAGTTCAGAATGCTCTTTGATTGTAGATGAACAATAAATCCCACCAACTACAACTCCCAAATATCAAGGTCTGCTTTCCACAAACTCCACCAGTGTTCACATTTGGGTGTATTAAGTATTCATGCCAAGTTTGGTCCAGATCCATCATTGTTTGAGTCCACAGTGCTTTCTGCATGTAGGTGAACTACAACTCCAAAACTCAAGGTCAATGCCCTCCAGACCCTTCCAGTATTTTCTGCTGGTCATGGGAGTTCTCTGTGCCAAGTTTGGTTTACTTCCATCATTGGTGGAGTTCAGAATGCTCTTTCATTGTAGGTGAACTATAAATCCCAGCAACTACAACTCCCAAATGTCAAAGTCTATTTTATCCAAACTCCACCAGTGTTCGCATTTGGGCATATTGGGTATTCGTGCCAATTTTGGTCCAGATCCATCATTGTTTTGAGTCCACAGTGCTTTCTGGATGTAGGTGAACTACAACTCTAAAACTCAAGGTCAATGCCCACCAAACCCTTCCAGTATTTTATATTATGATTCATAATAGTAGCAAAATGACAGTTTTTTTTGTTGGTCATGGAAGTTCTGTGTGCCAAATTTGGTTCAGTTCCATCATTGGTAGAGTTCAGAATGCTCTTTGATTGTTGGTTGAACTATAAATCCCAGCAACTACAACTCCCAAATGTCAAGGTCTATTTTCCCCAAACTCCACCAGTGTTCACATTTGGGCGTATTGAGTATTCATGCCAAGTTTGGTGCAGATCCATCATTGTTTGAGTCCACAGTGCTTTCTGGATGTAGGTGAACTACAACTCCAAAACTCAATGTCAATGTCCTCCAGACCCTTCCAGTATTTTCTGTTGGTCATGTGAGTTCTGTGTGCCAAGTGTGGTTCAATTCCATCATTGGTGGAGTTCAAAATGCTCTTTGATTGTAGGTGATTGTAGGTCAACTACAACTCCCAAATGACACAATCAATCCCACCCAACCCCACCAGCATTCAAATTTGGGCATATGGGGTATTTTCATTCTTGGGAAAGGAGCTTCATTCCGTGATCATTCTCAAAATGTAGTTCCTCACTTCCACCCATCATGCCATTAAAAGAAAACCTAGTTGTGTTGGTGGCAATGATGCAATGAACGCCATGCCCAATTTAGACCCAACTTGGTACGTTTCAAGTACAGTTTGGCACAGCAAGGCTTGGCATGGTTCCTTGAGCCACTTGCAAAGAATAGAGATGAAGTGTCATTTTTGCCCGAATCAATGGCATAGCTGGATTGAAACGGGAAAGAGAAAGGAGGAGGAAATTGGAGGTGGATCAAAGCAGGGAAATTGGGTGGTCATGCAGGGAGCCCACAGACCTTTCTGAGTCACTGAAATTCATTGGGGAGCATAAGTCATTGCTGCAGGCTTTACGATGCTGGAGAGACAGGCTCTAAGTGCCAGAATTGCATCCCCCAAGATGCAATTTTCCTCTATTATTAGGGAGAACCTATACTGTTACTTTCTGTAAGCCGCCCTATGTCCCTTCCAGGAGAGGGGGCGGGATATAAATAAAACTTATTATTATTTGATACACAACAAGATTAGAATACAGCAAACAAGACCACTGTTGGCTTTTGTACTGGATCACACGTCGGGCACTTCCCAAGTGTCTAGGACTGTGTGATATATCAGCAAATAATGCTTGCAGATCCAAGGAGGGTGGCCTTTTGCAATTTGGTTAATGTTGAGTGTTTTTAAGCGCAGGCCAAGATCTTTAGGCACTGCACCCAGTGTGCCAATCACCACTGGGACCAACGTGTCTGGCTTCTGCCAGAGTCTTTGCAGTTCGATCTTTATATCCTCGTATCATGTAAGCTTTCCCAGTTACTTCTCGTCAATTCCACTGTCACCTGGGATTGCAACAACAACGATCCATACTTGTTGTTGTTGTTGTTGTTGTTGTTGTTGTTGGAAGGATAGGGATCTTTCAACCTTCCAGATCTTGTTGGACTGCCTATCCCAGCTGGCACAGCCAAGTAGAATTCAATATCTGGAGAGGCACACGATCTGCTCCTCACTTGTTAACTTTCTGTGGTGACCCTACTTTCGTATCAAAAGCATTACATAAATTCGTATAAAACCAATAAAAATAGAAGGAGCACAGCTGGCTAAATATCTGGGTTGTTGTAGGTTTTTTCGGGCTATATGGCCATGGTCTAGAGGCATTCTCTCCTGATGTTTCGCCTGCATCTATGGCAAGCATCCTCAGGAGAGAATGCCTCTAGACCATGGCCATTTAGCCCAAAAAAACCTACAACAACTCAGTGATTCCAGCCATGAAAGCCTTCGACAATACGGCTAAATATCTTTTGACCAAGAACGGGCAACAGCAATGGTATTGTCTGTAGCCTCCAACAATTCTTCCTCTGTACATGAGGCAGGGCATAGTGGGCAAGCCTACAGATGCGGAGTTGTCTGTTCTGCCCCACAGTCACATAAAGTATGGGATTATTTTAGGTAGTGCCATTTTGCCAGGTTGTCTTTTGATCTGCCCATTCCGCTTCTGAGTCTGTTCAGGATTTGTAGGTGACCCTAATGGTTTTTGTGGTCAGGTGTGTTCAGATGATGGTTGCTATTGCCTTCCTCCAAGGCTGAGAGAGTGTGACTTACCTCGGTCGCACCATGGGTTTCATAGCTGGCTGAGGATTCGAGGTCTCCAGAGTCGTAGTCTAGTGCTCGATCCACCACGCAACGCAAATACAATAAATAAATGCAGCCAATGCATAAGAATATGATTGAAATAATTCATGCAGAAGAATGAAATCAGGAACAATTTCTACCCATGCCTCATGTTCCCAATTGTGTGCCTCTCAACAGATCTGTTTGTGGGGCAGCTGAAGAGTTCCCTGACCTGCAGCGCCTGCGGCCATTGTTCGACGGCCTTCGATCCCTTCTGGGACCTGTCGCTACCCATTGCCAAGGTAAAAGCATATGCCCTCTGTTCAGCTACACTGCAAAATTAATACAGTTTAACACCACTTTAGTTGCTTCATGCTATGGTATCCTGGGAGTTGTAGTTTGGTGAGGCACCAGCACTCTTGGGCAGAAAAGGCTGAAGACCTTGTAAAACTACAACTCCTTGTTTTCATAGCATTGAGCTCCTTTTCTGGCACCGGGACTTTGTTAACCTCCATTTCTTTTTTCCTAGAAGAGCTATGGGGAGGTCAACTTGGCCGACTGCTTGCGGCTCTTCACCAAGGAAGACATCCTGGATGGAGATGAGAAACCCGTAAGACTCTATCCCAAAATGAAAACCCCAAATAGGATCTTGGGGGGAGGGGGGGAGGGAAAATAACAAAAAAATGCAATGGCAGTCCATGAATTTCCCAAGTCGAGGTTGTCGTGAATCTCAGCTCTCATTTCCAGACATGGAAGGAGCTATCCAAGGTTCTGAACCAAATTTGGATCATAGAATCCTAGAATTGGAAGAGTGGGCCATCCAGTCCAACCCCATTCTGCCAAGAAGCAGGAAAATCACATTAGAAGCACCCCTGACAGATGGCCATCCAGTCTCTGTTTCAAAGCCTCCAAAGAAAGGGCCTCCACCACACTCCAGGGCAGAGAGTTCCACTGCTGAACAGCTCTCCCAGTTGATAGATTCCTTTAAACTCTGGAGCCAAACCCTGAGCAGATTCATTGTGAATCAACATGTATCCATATATCCACATCTTTTAAAATGCATCCTATTTAGGAATTTTCTAAGTCTTCCAGTGCCACTCTATGTCACTCTTGGACTAGATGGACTTCAATAAGTTGCACTTTTATCCAGAGTTTTGTGCATTCGAGTCCAGGATAGTATCATATTTCATTTTTTGCACTGGATTCCTAATTACACCTGCCAACCTAGACTTGGGATATTCTATGTAGATATGTGTATGAATATACCTACACATATATACACATACATATATACATACAGGGAGCCCTCAGTGGTAACGACACTCCATGCAGTCATGCTGGCCACATGATCTTGGAGGTGTCTATGGACAACACCAGCTCTTTGGCTTAGAAATGGAGATGAGCACCAACCCCCAGAGTCAGACACGACTGGACTTAATGTCAGGGGACAACTTTTACCTTTACCTATATACATACATACATACATACATACATACATACATACATACATACTAGGCCTGGGCAATGCATGGTACATTGGCCTTCCTTTGTCAGTGATCCGGAAACTGAAACTGGTGCAAAATGCGGCAACTCGTCTTCTCACCGGGGTGCCGGCGAGGTGTCGTATCACCCCATTTTTCCAAAAGCTGCACTGGCTACCGATTGAATACCGGGTCACTTTCAAGGTGCTGGTACTAACCTTTAAGGCCTTATATGGCCTGGGGCCGGCGTACCTGAGGGCCTGCTTATCCCCCTACCAACCCCAGAGATTACTCTGGTCTGAAGATCAAAATCTGCTTGCAGTCCCTAACATCCGGACCTATCATTTGTCATCTACTAGGCAGAGAGCCTTCTCGATCGTGGCCCCTTATTTATGGAATGCCTTGCCGGTTGAAACTCAAACCATCCAAGACTTACTTGCTTTTCAGAAAGCCTGTAAAACTTTTCTTTTCCGGCAAGCTTTTGATGGGTGAACAATTCATGCTATGCCTGTTCTCACTGCCTATTGTTATTGTTATGGTCATTTTAAAGCCAATTGTATTGTTTTAATCTGTTTCTGTAAATCGCTCCGAGCCAAATTGGGAGTAGCGGTACACAAGTTAAATAAATAAATAAATAATGGTTCTAAAGTAATTACAAAACTAAAGTTCTGGTGGTGAAAATTTCAGAACTCTAACAAAACTTTCAAAAATGTAATTATTATTTCATTATTGGCAATTTTTATGACTAAATCGATTAGGAACTGCCCTTTATAATGAAATTTTGAGAGTTTTGTTAGAGTTCTGAAATTTTCACCACCAGAACTTCCATTTTGTAAGTACTTTAGAACCATTTAGAACCATGCATTGCCCAGGCCTAAATTACATACATACTTTCTGTCCTGAAAATCCTTATCCCGAGCACCAAACTTTGCAAGGGCCAAAGGTTTAGAAAACAATCATGGAAATCAAGAGAGATATTGACAAGTTTGAATGTGTCCAGAGGAGGGCCACTAAAATGATAAAGGGTCTGGAGAACAAGCCCTATGAGGAGCGGCTTAAGGAGCTGGGCATGTTTAGCCTGAAGAAGAGAAGGCTGAGAGGGAATATGATAGCCATGTAGAAATATGTGAGAGGAAGCCACAGGGAGGAGGGAGCAAGCTTGTTTTCTGCTTCCCTGGAGACTAGGACGCGGGACAATGGCTTCAAACTACAAGAGAGGAGATTCCATCTGAACATGAGGAAGAACTTCCTTATTGTGAGAGCCGTTCAGCAGTGGAACTCTCTGCCCCGGAGTGTGGTGGAGGCTCCTTCTTTGGAAGCTTTTAAACAGAGGCTGGATGGCCATCTGTCAGGGGTGATTTAAATGCAATATTCCTGCTTCTTGGCAGAATGGGGTTGGGCTGAATGGCCCATGAGGTCTCTTCCAACTCTTTGATTCTATAAATGGACAGGAATTAATTCCTGGTTTTTTGCAGGGAAGTGGTTTTGGACTGGTTAACTTAAAAGAATGCAAATGGAGCTGACACTTCAGATGAGGAATTGCAACTCCTGGAGGCCATCTGTATTCTTTGTTCGCCAGGAAAAGAAGGATATAGAAGGATCAATTTAAAAGACATAGGATCACATTTGCTTCGTTTTGGCTCTAATCCTGGCTGTTTTTCTCTCTCCAGACCTGCTGCCACTGCAAAGCCAGGACGAAATGCACAAAGAAGTTCAGCATCCAGAGGTTCCCAAAGATCCTGGTGTTGCGTATCCTTATGAAGCCCACAATGGCAAAAATATCGGAAAAGCGGGGGGAGTGGGGAGGAAGGAACCCAGCAATCGCTCCCGGTCACCATGGTTATCTTTATTAGTGCCATTTATCCGTTCCGCCTGCTGAGGCACATGAGTAGGAGGCTGCCATGGCAGTCGTGCCCTCCTGCGTATAGTGCCAAATTAGCTAGACTTTTTGGTTAGATCCAGCTGGGTTTTTATTCACAGTGTGCATATGGCTAGTTTTTCTGCAACCGCTCTATGCACGTATTTTGGATTAGGATCATGAATTGAGCCCCCAGAGAGCTCAGCTTTCAACTTTACCAGTTTTGGCAAGGTTTAGAGGGGATTCAAACCATGCTGAATTTTCCCCAGCTGGACCTAAAGATGCCCAAAGGAGCTATAGGTGCATCTACACTGTAGAATTAATGCAGCTTGGCACCACTTTAATGCCATGGTTCTGTGCAATGGAATCGTGGGAGTACTGGTTTTATGAAGTTATTTGCCTTCTTCTGCCAGAGTTCCAGTGTTGTGTATTGTAAGGAAGGAGAGAAGGAGGGAAAGAAGGAGGGAGAGAAAGAGGGAAGGAGAGAAGGAAGGAAAGAAAGAAGGGTAGAGAAGGAAGGAAGGAAAGAAGGAGGGAAAGAAGGAGGAAAGGAGATGAAGAAGGAAAGAAGAGAAGGGTAGAGAAGGAAGGAAGTAGAGAAGGAGGGAAAGAAGGAAGGAAGGCGTTGAAGAAGGAAAGAAAGAAGGGTAGAGAAGGAGAGAAGGAGGGAAAGAAGGAAGGAAGGAGATGAAGAAGGAAAGAAAGAAGGGTAGAGAAGGAAGGAAGGAGAGAAGGAGGGAAAGAAGGAAGGAGATGAAGAAGGAAAGAAAGAAGGGTAGAGAAGGAGAGAAGGAGGGAAAGAAGGAAGAAAGGAGATGAAGAAGGAAAGAAAGAAGGGTAGAGAAGGAAGGAAGGAGAGAAGGAGGGAAATAAGGAGGAAAGGAGATGAAGAATGAAAGAAAGAAGGGTAGAGAAGGAAGGAAGTAGAGAAGGAGGGAAAGAAGGAGGGAAGGAGATGAAGAAGGAAAGAAAGAAGYYTAYAGAAGGAAGGAAGGAGAGAAGGAGGGAAAGAAGGAYGGYAGGAGYTGAAGAAGGAAAGAAAGAAGGGTAGAGAAGGAAGGAAGGAGAGAAGGAGGGAAAGAAGGAGGGGAGGAGATGAAGAAGGAAAGAAAGAAGGGTAGAGAAGGAAGGAAGGAGGGAAGGAGGGGGAGAAAGAGGGAAAGAAGGAGAGAAGGAAAGAAAGAGAGAAAGAGGAAGAGAAGAAAGGAAGAAAAGAGACAAGGAAGGATGGAACCAAAGAGCAAAGGAAGCGAGAAAAGAAACAGGTAGAGAAGGAAGAAAGAAGAAGGGAAAGAAAAAGAGGAAAGGAAGGAAAGAGGGAGGGAAGGAAGGAGAGAAAGAAAGGTTTCCCCGTTTGTTGGGCAAAATCAGTAAAGTATAGGAGTTATATCTGGACCTGTTTTTTTTGGCCCCTTTCACACAGCTGAATAAAATCCCACATGATTTGCTTTAAACTGGGATATATGACAGTGTGGACTCAGATAACCCAGTTCAAAGCAGATACTGTGGGATTTTCTGCCTGGAATATAGGGCTGTTGTGTGGAAGGCCCCTTAGCATGCTGGTTTGAAACACAACTAGGTATTTTAATTCAGAGAGTATCCATTTCCCACCAAAATAAACAAAGAAAGTACAGGAAAGGGTCAGATTTTTGGTCCTGTAGTAAGTGGAATACTGAGCAAATGGGTCTTTCTTGCAATGTGGGACACAGACCTCGCCAAGTCCCCTCTTGAGCATGATATACTTGTAGGCCTTTGTCTTCCTTAACGTCTTTTTCCTCCAGACCTGAAACGCTTCTCCGAAGCCAGGATACGATCCAGCAAACTCACCACCTTTGTCAATTTCCCTCTCAAGGATCTGGACTTGAGGGAGTTTGCTTCCCAAAACTGCAGTGAGTATCTCTTATCAGAATGACCATATCGCAGGCATGGGCAAACTTGGGCCCTCCAGGTGTTTTGGACTACAACTCCCACAATTCCTAACAGCCGGTAGGCTGTTAGGAATCGTGGGAGTTGTAGTCCAAAACTCCTGGAGGGTCCAAGTTTGTCCATGCCTGCCATATAGCATTAAGAGAGACTGAACGTCATAGGATGCCTGATAGCCAAGACACCTCTGATTCTTTGGGATACATGTATACTATAAATATATATAATTCTTTAATGTCCCATGTCAGAGCATCTTATGGAAAAGCTTGTGAGATATAGGAAGTATTGTTGGACATCCAAGAATGGGAATAGAATCACCACGTTTTGGGGGAAGCAGCATTTCCAAGCGTTGGTTGGAAAGTTCAGAAAGCTGTAAAAATATTTAAAGACTAGCAAGGTTTTGGTGTTCTGGATGTTTACGATATACCACATTTACTTGAGTCTAACGCGCCATCGAATCTAATGCGCACCTCGATTTTCAAAACCCTGAAAGCAAAAAAAAAAGTATTTGCAAGCAAAAGTAAGAATTGGGTTGTTGTAGGTTTTTCCGGGCTATATGGCCATGTTCTGGCCCGGAAAAACCTACAACAACCCAGTGATTCCGGCCATGAAAGCCTTCGACAATACAAAAGTAAGAATGCTCTTTGACCAAAAGAGTGCATTATAGTTGCTACGTGATTAGAATTCCTTCCCCAAAAGCAAAAGTGTTTGGACACCAAAGCTTCCAGAAATGGAAAACAAAACCTTGGGGTGCATCTTATAGCATGAATGCATTGTAATTGCCTTGGTTCAGTGCTATTGAATCCTGGAAGCTGTAGTTGTACAAGGTCTTGAGGCTTTCCTTCCAAAGAAATCTGATGCCTCACCAAACTACAAATCCCAGAATCACATAGCATCGAGACATGGAAATTAAATTAGAGATGACGCTGAGCATATCCTTAGCTCAGCACTAAGATTACCATATTACGCAAATCTAATGCATATCATAATTTTGGCAAGGTAGCTGACCGAAAGGTTGGTAGTTCGAATCCAGGGAGCAGGGCGAGCTCCCACTGTTAGCCCCAGCTTCTACCAACCTAGCAGTTCGAAAACATGCAAATGTGAGTAGATAAATAGATACTGCTTCAGCAGGAGGGTAACGGTGCTCCATGCAGTCATGCCAGCCACATGACCTTGGAGGCATCTGAGGACAATGCCGGCTCTTTGGCTTAGAAATGGAGATGAGCACCATCCCCCAGAGTCAGACACGACTAGACTTCATATCAAGTAAAAACTTTTACCTTTACTTAATTTAACCAAAAAAAGGTGAGCATTAGATTGCCGCAAATAGTATGTATCTGATAGTTCTTTCTTTTTTATAAGTGGGGAATGGCAAAGGTGGGTCCTTCCACATGTGATTGAATCACAACTGCCAGCATTCCGTGTTATGGACTTTGTTCACTAGTGCTGGTGGCAGGAGCACTCTGTCAACATCAGGAGGCCATTGGTTTCTCTTACCTGTTGATACAAGTTCTGATATCAAACCGCTCCAAAAATGGCACTGTCTGTCTTGTTCTCCCTCTGCAGACCACGCTGTTTACAATCTGTATGCCGTCTCCAATCACAGCGGAACTACAATGGGAGGCCACTACACAGCCTACTGCAAGAACCCCGTCTCTGGAGAATGGCATGCCTTCAATGACTCACGGTAAACACTGTGCTATTAGCTTCTGCTATCTGTACCGATATACCCTCCCCAGTTCCAAGTTGAAAACTGGAGTCTGTGGGGCCCAAATAATAATATGCTGTGTCCAGGTTGGTTCATCAGGTGCTCTGCTATGACTGACTTCTCTGGTTGAAGTAGTCTGCAGTGCCTTTTGTGTTCTTTAATTTGTGTTTGGGCGCTGTGTTTGGTGGTCCATTGAAATTCACAAGCATGTGGACAATTTCAACAGAAAGGAGGAAATCATGAAAATGAACAAAATCTGGCTACCAGTATTAAAAAAAAACTCTAAAATTACAACAAGAAAACAACAGAGAGGAAACAATCAGGGACATCTAATCACCTCTCAACAAAAGATTGCCCCAGGCACCAACAAGTCACACCAAACAATTGCCAGGCCATCAAATGCTAATCAAGGTGGTCAGTTGAAACATTCACACCTAGCTCCAACAGGCAAGAGTTCTTTGTCCCACCCTGGTCATTCCACAGATATATACACCCATTTTCCTAGTTCCAACAGACCTCACTGCCTCTGCGGATGCTTGCCATAGATGTAGGCGAAACGTCAGGAGAGAATGCCTCTAGAACATGGCCATATAGCCTCAAAAAACCTACAACAACCCAGTGATTCCGGCCATGAAAGTCTTCGACAATACATTGACCATATTTTAGTTCTTGTGATCACTGGTGGTCCACAGACCACAGATAGGGAACCACTGCAGTGTAGACAAATGAAGTATATGGGAAAGTAATATGATGGTGCTGGCATAAATGATGGTGCAGTGAGGTGGTCAGCCATGGAGGTAGCTGCAGGGTGAGGGAGGACACCAAATAGGCACCCCAGCATTGCAATATTAGGGGATGGTGGGGTTCCAGAAGCATTTGAAGGGGCACCATTGCTCCAGATGGAGACCTGATACATCTGCCTGACCATGTCCTCTTTCCTTTACTCTCCGCAGTGTCACGCCACTCTCCGCGAGCCACGTCCGCAGCAGCGACGCCTACCTGCTTTTCTATGAGCTGTCCAGCCCGTCTTCGCGAATGTAGCCTTCTCCCCATCGCACCCATTGACCCCATGAGAAGGCAAGAAAGCCAAACTCACAGATGTGCTCAATGGGGGAGACACCTAGGACTATGGTGACTCAAGGGATTTTTCTAAGCCTTTTTTTTTCTTAAGAAAAAAAATTACAAAAACCAAAAAAAAAAAAACAGGAGGGAGAAAGCCCTAATAAAGCATTGACTAAAGATGCCGACTTTTGCGGAAAGGCCTTTCTCCTGATTCAGGACTGAGGATGAAGAAAACACTGGCAGTTGAGGATGGCTTCTCGAAACCCTCCTCATGTTCTTCAGGGTACTTCCTTCCACTTTTGGTTTCTCCCCTCTCTTTCTCTCCCCTCACTTGCTTCCCCTCCGCCTTTGGTGTGTGTAATAAACCGTGAACAGCAGCAAACAGGGGCAGGAAAACTCTCTGTCCTTGTTTTACCCACAAAACCTCTCCAAGTAGCTCCCAAATTTGGGGGCAATGTGTGTGACAAGTAGGCGGACGTCTCCAGTGGTGCCTTGAAATGCAGTCATCGTTGGAGAGCGATGAGAAACTGTCCGTCGCTTTGTAGGAATCCGTTTCCAAATTTCTGCTGCTTTTGGTTCCCAAATGGAGACGTGAGACACAACAGGATTTGCAACCCAGCATCTTTGAAACTGATGAATAAAGCCACTTGTTGACCATGTCAAATCTCCGCTCCATGTGAGAGTGCAAACTTTTCACGAGGAGCAGCTTCTCCGAATTTTGTGGCACGTGAGACGGTTTACGGCGAGACTCAAGGAATTGGGCAACCTTGCCTCTCATTTCCCTTTTTGGAAGAACACTTCTTGGTTTAGTTCCCTTTCTAAATGTCTTTTTCTAGCAAAGCTCCGAAGCACTTCCGGCTGGGATTTTACAGACTCCAGCCAAAGGGTGGATTTCTCACTTTCGTTTCCCAACGGTGCCTTAAACTGTCCGAGAGGGAGTTCTGCATGAACCGGAATGCCCCTTTTGAGGCACAAAAAGGTGTAAACTTGGCAAAAAAAACCCACTCCACCCTCAACCTTTCCTCCTTCCTTTCCCTTTTAAAAATGCTCCAAGTTGCTTAGGTTTTGCTTTTGCGTTGGGTTCTTCGCTGTAAAGACAATGGCTTCTCCTGCCAAGGAGGCAAAGAACTGAGCCAACTTTAAAATGGTTGATGTTGGTCAACCGGCGAATGTCAGTCACTTTATTTAACCTTTTATTTATTCTGTCCGAAAGGTGTTCCAACCCGTGTCCGGAGGATTTGCTCTCCGGCAAGTTGGGCAGAAACTCAACCCTCCTCGGTTGACTTTCAGCCCATCGTTTCTTCTCTCTTGCAATCATGAAGCTTTGGCAAGCATCCGGTCCTCTGTGAGGAAAGTGAGGAGGCAATGCTCCTTGGTCTGGATTGGTCCTGCATTAAATCGGGCACCAAAATATTAGACATTGATGTGGTCATACCAAATGTGGTTGGCATCAACGGAACCCAATGGGTGCCCCTTTCCCTCTGAAAGCTTTCCTTTCAAAGGGAAGATTCTTTGATTTCAGTGTTTTTCGCTCTGGCATTAAGGGCCCCAAGACAGAAGCCAAGATGATACAATGCAAGGTATAAATAATGGGTTGCCTTTCTCATTGTCTACCTTTTTTGGCTTGACTTAATGTCTTGTTTACTGTGTAAGCAAAGTTAGGGAAGGGATTCCTGCCATTCGTAAGGGAGACTTGTACAGAAATAAAACTGTAGCTTGATAAACACCTTGTGAGTTTCTGTGTATATATTTGCATGGGTGTTGTGTGTGTGTGTGTGTTAACCCGTGTTTGCATGCATTTGTCTGGAAAACATCCACAAAGACCTGCCTTGTGGAGAAAGTGATTCGAACAATAGGAAAAGAGATTTTTATTTCAACATTAGAAACAATTTCCTGGTGGTAAGAGCTGTTCAACAATAGTGTTTGCTGCCTCAAAGCCTGCAGAGTCTCCTTCATTGGAGGTTTTTAAGCAGAGGTTGGATGGCCATCTGTTGGGAGGGCTTGTATTGTATCTTTCTGCCTGGTAGAAGGGGTTGGACTGGATGGCCCTTCAATCCCTTCCATCTCTAAGATTCTATAGTTCTGTGATGGGTTCTAGGTCATCCAATGGTCTCCCTGGGTGACCTAGAACCCATCATAGAATGATAGATTGAGGTGCTCTGCCTGGATTCTCCAAACCCCATTCCAACCAACAGTGGAAGATGCCAACTTGGAGTCTCCTTCATTGGAGGTTTTAAAGCAGAGACTGGATAGCCATCTGTCGAGAGGGCTTAGATTGTATCTTTCTGCCTGGCCCTTCAATTCCTTCCATCTCTAAGATTCCATAGTTCTGTAGTGGGATCTAGGTTGTCCAATTGTCTCCACTGCTGACCTAGAACCCATTATAGATAGAGGAGCTCTGCCTGGGTTCTCCTAGCCCCATTCCAACCAACAATGCAAGATGCCAACTTTGAGTCTCCTTCATTGGACGTTTTTAAGCAGAGGCTGGATGCCCATCTGCCAGGAGGGATGGGATTGTATCTTTCTGCCTGGCAGAATAGAGTTGGACTGGATGGCCCTTCAGTCCCTTCCATCTCTAAGATTCAATAGTTCTGTGATGGGTTCTAGGTCATCCAATTGACTCTGTGGGTCACCTAGAACCCATCATAGAATGATAGATGGAGGAGCTCTGCCTGGATTCTCCAAACCCCATTCCAACTAACAGTGCAAGATGCCAACTTTGAGTCTCCTTCATTGGAGGTTTTTAAGCAGAGACTGGATGGCCATCTGAGGGCTTGAATTGTATCTTTCAGGTTTTTAAGCAGAGGCTGGATGCCCATCTGCCAGGAGGGATTGGATTGTATCTTTCTGCCTGGCATAATAGGGTTGGACTGGATGGCCCTTCAATCCCTTCCATCTCTAAGATTCAATAGTTCTGTAATGGGTTCTAGGTCATCCAGTGGTCTCCATGGGTGACCTAGAACCCATCATAGAATGATAGATGGAGGAGCTCTGCCTGGATTCTCCAAACCCCATTCCAGCCAATAGTGCAAGATGCCATTTCCATTGCATTCAACTCGGCTCACTTGCACAAGCAGCGCTGAGCAGTTGTTTTCCTCCCTGTTTTTCTCTGCGGCCTGGAGTGACCAACCTTTTCCTGGGTTACGAAAGATCCCGAAGGCTATCTGTAAGGCCAGGGGGGAATGTGCCTAATCCCCCAGAAACAATCTTCTCTGGCCGCCCGGGCTCACAAGGCGCCCGCGTTCTTGCTTGCTCCCCTCCCCGGCAATCCGGCCTGCAAACAATGACCTCTTTCTCCTTTGCTTTAGCAACAGGGCCAAGAGATTTGGCGCTAAGAGATTTTGGAATGCGCACGACTTAGCAACAGTACTAGACAACACTACAAAAAAGGGAACAACTTATGCCAACATTACAAGAGAGACAGCAAACCAGCCAGTTAATAAAGAAAACCTTGAGTTCATCAATCCAGATTCAGAATAAAAGTCCATACTTGTTTTGGGAAAGCTGTTTTGATCATGGTGTGTTACTGCATTCTCAAAATATCCCAAATGTTAATAGTCTTTCCTTCTTCAATACTAGTTTTATAGATGTTATAAAAATTTTGAGCAGTAACATAATTGATGTTTAATTAGATAACCTACTCTATGTTTAACAAACAAATTATTTGACAATGAGAAATTAAAGGACAAACCCTGTCTCTGCCTGGGAGATGTCCTTGAACTTACCATGGAGAATAGCAAATTCTATTGCAATGAATGGCTTCCAGAAGTTACCACGTAGCTGTATTGGAAGACCTAGAAAATTCCAAGTGTTTCTATGGCAGCGTTTCTCAACCTGAGGATTGGGACCCCTGGGGTGTCTTGAGGGGGGGTGTCAGAGGGATCACCAAATACCATCAGAAAACACAATATTTTCTGTTGGTCCTGGGGGGTTCTGTGTGGGAAGTTTGGCCCAATTCTATCATTAGTGGGGTTCAGAATGCTCTTTGATTGTAGATAAACTATAAATCCCAGCAACTACAACTCCAAATCTCAAGGTCTATTTTCCACAAACTCAACCAGTATTCTCTGGAGATGGGTGAACTACAACTCCAAAACTCAAGGTCAATGCCCACCAAATCTTTCCATTATTTTCTTTTGGTCATGAGAGTTCTGTGTGCCAAGATTGGTTCAGTTCCAGAATGTTCTTTGATTGTAGGTGAACTATAAATCCCAGCAACTACAACTTCAAATCAATACACACACACACACACACACACAATTCAAATTTGGCCATATCGGGTATTTGTGCCAAATTTGGCACAAATACCCGATATGGCCAAATTTGGTCCAGTGAATGAAAATACATCCTTCCTATCAGATATTTACATTATGATTCATAACAGTAGCAAAATTACAGTTATGATATAGCAACAAAATAATGTTATGGTTGGAGGTCACCACAACATGAGGAACTGTATTCAGGGGTCACGGCAGTAGGAAGATTGAGAAAAATTGGCCTAGGATATGTTCTTGAATTTACCATGAAGAATAGCAAACCCTACTGAACTGAATTACTTCCACCAGAATTTACCACAGAGTTATATAGGAAGACCTAGAAAATTCCAAGAGGTATCCTTTGCTTGTATGATTCTATGGGAACTTCTGGCAGAAGTGTACCATACAATTGCCTGGAAGACTTAGAAAATCCTTACAATTTGGGCATGTTTTGCCAAGTGCAGGTAGGTAAAACCATAGTCTTGCTTGTATGGAGATTGCACTGGTTATAACAGATTGGCAATTTATTTTTCATAGCCTTCAACACTGCACAGATGCAGACCACAACACACGTGGCCAAGCAACATGACAATTTGGGCAAGAGGGCAAAAGTCAATGCAAAAAAACATACAAGCAGCATAGAATCATAGAATCAAAGAGTTGTAAGAGACCTCCTGGGCCATCCAGTCCAATCCCATTCTGCCAAGAAGCAGGAATATTGCATTCAAATCACCCCTGACAGATGGCCATCCAGCCTCTGTTTAAAGGCTTCCAAAGAAGGAGCCTCTACCACACTCCAGGGCAGAGAGTTCCACTGCTGAACGGCTCTCACAGTCAAGAAGTTCTTCCTCGTGTTCAGATGGAATCTCCTCTCTTGTAGTTTGAAGCCATTGTTCCGTGTCCTAGTCTCCAAGGAAGCAGAAAACAAGCTTGCTCCCTCCTCCCCTTAGCTTCCTCTCACATATTTATACATGGCTATCATATCTCCTCTCAGCCTTCTCTTCTTCAGGCTAAACATACCCAGCTCCTTAAGCCGCTCCTCATAGGGCTTGTTCTCCAGACCCTTGATCATTTTAGTCGCCCTCCTCTGGACACATTCCAGCTTGTCAATATCTCTCTTGAATTGTGGTGCCCAGAATTGGACACAATATTCCAGGTGTGGTCTAACCAAAGCAGAATAGAGCATGGGGAGCTTGACTTCCCTAGATCTACACACTATGCTCCTATTACTGCAGGCCAAAATCCCATTGGCTTTTTTTGCCGCCACATCACATTGTTGACTCATGTTTAACTTGTTGTCCACAAGGACTCCAAGATCTTTTTCACACGTTCTGCTCTCGAGCCAGGCATTGTCCCCCATTTTGTATCTTTGCATTTCGTTTTTCCTGCCAAAGTGGAGTATCTTGCATTTGTCACTGTTGAACTTCATTTTGTTAGTTTTGGCCCATCTCTCTAATCTGTCAAGATTGTTTTGAATCCTGCTCCTGTCCTCTGGAGTATTGGCTATCCCTCCCAATTTGGTGTCGTCTGCAAACTTGATGATCCTGCCTTCTCACCCTTCATCCAAGTCATTAATAAAGATCCTGAGCAGGACCAGGCCCAGGACGGAGCCCTGCGGCACTCCACTTGTCACTTCTTTCCAAGATGAAGAGGAAGCATTGGTGAGCACCCTCTGGCTTCGTCCATTTAACCAATTACAGATCCACCTCACCGTAGTTTTGCCTAGCCCACATGACTAGTTTCCTTGCCAGAAGGTCATGGGGGACCTTGTCGAAGGCCTTACTGAAATCCAGGTTCGCCACATCCACGGCATTCCCTGCATCTATTTGCTTTTGCCTAAAGTTTGCTTTTGCCTGAACTGACAGGGAAGAGCAACATTTCCACCTAGTGAGTTATCAAAGTGTCAATGTATGGGCCACAAAAATATATCTCAGGCCACATATGGCTCCAGGGCCACATTTTGCCCATCCTTGCAACTGAGCAACAGGCTTGCAATCCACCAAAGCTCTTGTCGTCATAAGTCTGTTGGTCTTGCAGGTACTACACCACCCTTGGTGGCTTCGCTGTCGCCGGCTAACACCGCTATTTGGAAATTCCTCCAGGATGCAATCAGCTCCTGGCTCCTCCAGGAAACCCTTTGAAGGCAAATGCCGTGTGCCTTTAAGACTGCCCCCTTGTCAATGCCAGGGTCCCTGACCTTGCCGTCCTCAGCTGAGTTGGATTAAGGCAGTTTTTCAGAGGGAGGGGGAAGGAAGGTGGCCGAACGCTTTAATGCTTGCAAATTCTCCCAAGAAACCTGGCAGGCCCCCTTGTCCCATGCGCCTGCCTACCAGAATGGTCTTGGGTAACGGAGGCGACGACGCCAGGATCTTGCCTGGGTTGGACAAGAGCAAGCCTGGGACCAGATCCTGACAGAAGACGCAGAAGAGCATTGCATCCCTGTCCTGTCCTCCTCGATGCGGTGAAGTCCCAAAGGCCATAGGAAGACCACGACTGATGCCGCAGGAGGTGGGGGGATGCGGCAGCCTCGGCAGAGCAGGGCTCCTGTCCACCTTCCCCACACCGTCTCTCCCCACCACCATGAAGGACTATACCGAGATTATCCTCTACCCTGAAGCCCAGGATCAGAGCAAGGTATGGGCAAAAGGAGGGGGGGCCTCTGTGCCAGTTGGCAGGCACCGTCCTGATTCACACATACTGTGGTCGCATTGGGATACACCCAGAAAAGGGCACAGAGAGGTTTGGATGAGCCTTTGCAAAACTTACTCAGGTCTGAGACTGACGATACCATGTATACAGACATTCCCCAAGTTACGAACAAGACAGCTTCTGTAGATTTGTGAGAGCCGTTCAGCAGTGGAACTCTCTGCCCCGGAGTGTGGTGGAGGCTCGTTCTTTGGAAGCTTTTAAACAGAGGCTGGATGGCCATCTGTCAGGGGTGATTTGAATGCAATATTCCTGCTTCTTGGCAGAATGGGGTTGGACTGGATGGCCCATGAGGTCTCTTCCAACACTTTGATTCTATGATTCTATGATTCTTAAGTTGAGTTTGTATGTAAGTTGTAACAGGTATTATTTAGGCGATCCCTCGTAGTCCAAGGATGATAGTCCTCCAAGTTCGGTGTCCTGGGGGTGGGTTCGTAGGTGGCTGTGGAGCCCAATTCTTGACCTGCATCTTCTCCCACAGTGAGGGCATTGGTTTCCAGGTGGGAGGCGGTCTCGGTCAGGGTTGGCTTGACGCGCCTTCCTCTTGGAACATTTCTCTCTTTCACCCGCCATTCGTGCCTCTTCAAATTCTGCAGCACTGCTGGTCACAGCTGACCTCCAGCTGGAGTGCTCAAGGGCCAGGGCTTCCCAGTTCTCAGTGTCTATGCCAGAGTTTTTAAGGTTGGCTTTGAGCCCATCTTTAAATCTCTTTTCCTGTCCACCAACATTCCGTTTTCCATTTTTGAGTTCGGAGTAGAGCAACTGCTTTGGGAGATGGTGGTCGGGCATCCGGACAACGTGGCCAGTCCAGCGGAGTTGATGGCGGAGGACCATCGCTTCAATGCTGGTGGTCTTTGCTTCTTCCAGCACGCTGACATTTGTCTGCCTGTCTTCCCAAGAGATTTGCAGGATTTTCTGGAGCAGCGCTGATGGAATCATTCCAGGAGTTGCATGTGACGCCTGGAGACAGTCCATGTTTCGCAGGCATATATCATGGTTGGGAGGACAATAGCTTTATAGACAATATAGACAATAGCTTATAGACCCTAAGGTGCTTGTCTATAAGATACAGATATATTACATCAATATCTATAGTAAAAGTAAAGGTTTCCTCCAGTGGCGCAGTGGGTTAAAGCACTGAGCTTCTGAAGTTGTTGTTGTTGAACCCACTGTTAGCCCCAGCTTCTGCCAACCTAGCAGTTTCAAAACATACAAATGTGAGTAGATCGATAGGTACCGCTCGGCGGGAAGGTAACGGCGCTCCATGCAGTCATGCGGCCACATGACCTTGGAGGTGTCTACGGACAACTGCCGGCTCTTCGGCTTAGAAATGGAGATGAGCACCACCCCCAGAGTCAGACATGACTGGACTTAATGTCAGGGGAAAACCTTTACCTTTACCTTAAAGGTTTCCCTTGACATTACGTCTAATCGTGTCCAACTCTGGGGGTGGTGCTTGTGTCATTTCTACGCCAACGAGCCAACGTCCGTAGACACCTCCAAGATCATGTGGGTAGCATGACTGCATGGAGTGCCAGAGTGGTACCTATTGATGTACTCACATTTGCATACTCTAGAACTGCTAAGCTGGCAGAAGCTGGGACTAACAGCAGGAGCTCACCCTGCTCTCTGGATTCGAACCGAAAACCTTTTGGTTAGCAAGTTTAGCAGCTTAGGGCTTCAACCCGCTGCGCTTCTATGGGCTCCCCTCTCTCTCTCTCTCCCCACTACACACACATACACACACACATGATTTGGATAGCAGAAGGAATGGTTAACACCCCTGTTTTGCTGTCTGTGCCCCTGTTCAGATTTCACCTCACTTTCTGTCCCTGTGATAATTAGATGTTGAAAAATCTGGCTTCTTGTGCATACAAAGATTTAGATGAGACACTCCCCCCCCCCCCCTGATAATAACTCTTCCAGGAGTGGACTTACCTTCTAAGATATAGATCTCTCTCACTCCCTGTGGTCTCACCCCTGTTTTTAACTATGAGTCGTTTGTAAGTTGCATGCTTGTATGTAAAGGTAGAGGTTTCCCCTTGAGATTAAGTCCAGTCGTGTCCGACTCTGGGGGTTGGTGCTCATCTCCGTTTCCAAGCCAAAGAGCCAGCGTTGTCCATAGACACCTCCAAGGTCTCGAGGCTAGCATGACTGCATGGAGCACCGTTACCTTCCCAAAGAAGCGGTACCTATTCATCTACTCACATTTGCATGTTTTTGAACTGATAGCTTGGCAGAAGCTGGGGCTAACAGCAGGAGCTCACCCCACTCCTTGGATTCGAACTGCCAACCTTTCAGTCAGCAACTTCAGCAGCTCAAGGGTTTAATCCATTTACTCATGTGGAAATCATCCATATTGTGGTTGTGTTGTGATAATCCCCCCCCCCCCCCAAAAAAAGGAACAGAGTGAGTTTTAGATGAACCTTTGCAAAACTTGGTCAAATACTGTGTATACGCCTCTATAAGTTGACTTCATGTATAAGTCAAGAGCATGTTTGTGGACGAAAATAATGGATTTGGTTTGCACCCATGGTTGAGAGGAGGGTCATTCTATGGAAAGGGGAAAGCACCAGTGCCAACTCAGGGGACTCGTTGCCCATGGTGCAGTAACCATTTCCTTGCCCAGGCATTCAACTGGTGGGCATGGAGGTGGGGGACTGATTTTGTCATTTGGAAGTTGTAGTTGCTGGGATTTATAATTCACCTACAATCAAAGAGCATTCTGAACTCCACCAATGATGAGATCGAACCAAACTTGGCACACAGAACTCCCATGACCAACAAAAAAACCTGTCATTTTGCTACTATTATGAATCATAATGTAAAATACTGGAAGGGTTTGGTGGACATTACCTTGAGTTTTGGAGTTGTAGTTCTCCTACATACAGAGAGCACTGTGGACACAAATAAAGATGGATCTGGACCAAACTTGGCACTAATACTCAATACGGCCAAATGTGAATGCTGGTGGAATTTGGGGAAAATAGACCTTGACTTTTGGGAGTTGTAGTTGCTGGGATTTATAGTTCACCTACAATCAAAGAGCATTCTGAACTCCACCAATGATGAGATTGAACACAGAACTCCCATGACTAACAAAAAAAACCCTGTCATTTTGCTACTATTATGAATCTTAATGTAAAATACTGGAAGGGTTTGGTGGACATTGACCTTGAGTTTTGGAGTTGTAGTTCTCCTACATCCAGAGAGAACTGTGGACACAAATAATGATGGATCTGGACCAAACTTGGCACTAATACTCAATATCCCCAAATGTGAATGTTTGTGGAGTTTAGGGGAAAATAGACCTTGACATTTGGGAGTTGTAGTTGCTGGGATTTATAGTTCACCTACAATCAAAGAGCATTCTGAGCTTCATCAATGATGGAATTGAACAAAACTTGGCACACAGAACTCTCATAACCAACAGAAAATACTGGAAGGATCTGGTGGGTATTGACCTTGAGTTTTGGAGTTGTAGTTCACCTACATCCAGTGAGCAGTGTGGACTCAAACAATGATGGATCTAGACCAAACTTGGCATAAATACTCAATATGCCCAAACGTGAATGCTGGTGGAGTTTGGGGGAAATAGACCTTGACATTTGGGAGTTGTAGTTCACCTACATCCAGAGAGCACTGTGGACTCAAACAATGATGGATCTGGACCAAACTTGGCACTAATACTCAATATGACCAAATGTGAACACTGGTGGAGCTTGGAGAAAACAGACCTTGACATTTGGGAGCTATAGTTGCTGGGATTTATAGTTCACCTACAATCAAAGAACATTCTGGACCCCACCAGTGATAGAACTGGGCCAAATTTTCCACGCAGAACACCCATGACAAACAGAAAATACTGTGTTTTCTGATGGTCTTTGGTGACCCCTCGCGACCCCCCCCCCCCCCCCCCCGTGTCCCGACACCTAGGTTAAGAAACGCTGATATAGGGTTACTACATCCTTTCCTTCTGTCCCCATTTCAGTTCTCTCTCCCTTCCAAGTCCCATCATTCCTCACTATGCTGACAAGGACTGCTGGGTATTGCAGTCCAACAACTTCAAGTGGGATGCTTGATATCCACCACTAGACAACTCGCGGTTTTTTTTTAGTTACCGAAGTTTTCCATGCTCTGCAATTTCTCCTCTTTACAAAAAATAAGGAAAGTGATTTTCCAAAACCCCGAGGAATGAACCAAACAACAAGCCACCTAAGCTCTAATCCCTTCCATTGCAACGTGTGGTGACGAGTGGATTACTTTTAAACACTCTAACAAGTTACAGGAATATATGGCTTTCAAGAAAATAACTTTCAAGCTCTGGTCGCCCTGAAGAGGAAATAGTGGAAGCTGGATTCTGCAGACAGCTCAGAAGTCTGCCATATGGATGCTATTAGCCTCCAGATCGAGCTGATAGCAACATGTTATTATTCTTTATGGGCTGGGTTAATGTAAAAGTGCCTGCGTTCTCACTCTCTTTTGGATTCCTAAAAATAAATCCAATTATCCCACTGTGAAAGTATGTAGGCGGAGATCTCGTCTTTCGATCAGAAGCCACGCTGGGATGGTTGAAGAGCTTCTAATCAGCAAGAGAAAGAAGGCGGGAGGTCTACCAGTCATTGGCTCCCACTCAAAGCTTAGAAAAGTTACTTTTTTCTGGTCTGGCACAGAATTTCCAAAGCAGGTTGGGTGTTGCACTCCAGAGCAGGAAACAGGGCCTTCTTGTCATTAATACAATCATTTTTATTGAATGATTAATATAAACTAGGGTCCAAAATGGAACAGCAAACAGCAATGTCCAGAAAGCTTGCAGAAAATCCAAAGCAGTAATATCCAGAAAACTCTCAATGGAAATCCATGAACAGATTAGTCCCTGCTAATCTCACTTGAGGAGCCCCCGGGGGCGCAGTGGGTTAAAGCACTGA